TGCGCTGTAGAGTTAATGTATATAGAAATTTAATTAATTAATTAACATGTCCATTATTTATCGACTCATTGATTATCATTTTAAACGATGTTGTTTTGGGACAACAATATTGATAGTCGTGGCAAAAATCACCTTTGCATTTTGAGACGACTTAAGGTCAGGACAACAGATTTAAGCTCCAGACTGTAATATTTTGTTCATTTGTCATTCTACGACATTTCTACAATTTGCAATTTTTCCTTTCTTGTACACGAAGTCTTCAACAAGAAACCTTGTTGTATTCGAGGGAAAATTCTTCGTACGATCAATAGTTCATCATTGCCATTCAATTCTTTCAAATGTGACGACATTCGCTAAAATTTAGATCAGATTGATGATACAAATGGAATTATTTCAATAAAGATGTTTTCAATHGTAATAATTTGTAATCTAAATGCTAGATTTCACTTGTCAGAAGGTACACTGCGAGCAGGTCACAGGAGATTTWAAAAAATGTCTGGTGCTTCCAAAACGACCTATACAATAAATATATTTTTTCGAGTTTACCTATTTTCATAACATGTATTCAAATAAAATAAGTCGATCATTAACTTAGTTTTTTTTAATTGTCTTAAATATTGATCATGCCACRAAAGTGGTTACTGGATATTTCTACTATAGCATTAATCTATTCTGCATTATTTTTAAGACAGAAGATGATGCTATGAAATCAGAACAACCATAAATTAAAGTTTATCAATAATTTATACACATACAATGGGATAAACCTCTAAATTCCTTTTTGAATTTTAAGAAATGTTTCAAATACGAGTTGCTGAATTCTCGGGGCTACACCTCGGCATTTAAAATTCCACCCGGATTTTGAAACCCCAATASAATTCAGCAACTTTTATTTGACGAGACATCTTATACTCTTTTTGTTATGTTTGTTTTTATTTCAAAGCTCTAGTACTTTGAAATATTTCAAAGTCCGAGTAGTAGGACTTTGAAATGGGTGCGCTCGTATTTGATGGAGTTTCAAACTACTGCACGTGGTACAAATAAGAAACCCTGGTTGGTCGATGAGCTCATGAATTATTAATGAGTATAAGATATATAATTCAAAAATATTTCAGTTACAACAGAGGACTCATGCTCACACCCTTATTACTCATTAGAAGCATTTCAGATTTAGGCCTAGGACTAGTTAAAGCTTTGTTTTATTTTATTTATTTATTTTTGTTTTGTTTTGTTTTGAAAGTAAATCTTTTTAAGAAAAAAAGTCTCCTTTTTTAACCTCTTGCAAACTGTAATACTTTATACAATCAAAACTGATCAAAATGATGTCAAAGGTGACTGTAACTCTTTTTTCTATTTATTCCAAATGATATCATTATTCTGAGAAATMTAATAAATGAAAAACAATTATATCTCACTTCTGTAGTTAACCGATTATCTATCTAAAAGAGCTAATGTATAGTCAATATATGAGCTGTTTCAAGAAATAAAACCTGGAATTGAAAAGAAATAACATTGACGTAGAGTCGCACACAAAATATATACTTCCATTTTAAAGTGTGACTAGGATATAACCACACTCCTAACAACCATCTCCTCTACCGATCTTGTGTACCAAAACAGCGAAATTATAAAGCATTGTAAAGAACTAGCTATTGCATATTGCATGTAAAGGGCTGCGAGTAGGCATGGAGGTTATTTATGGTTGCTGTATATTTTTTATCTATTGCCTGCCTCTMTATTTGATTTATTTGTTATAGTGTATGTAGCTGAGTACAATAATACTGAAAACAAGTATAGCTGTCTCTGGCGAGCACATATATAAGAAGAACAAATAAAAAGTCGCTATGTATTTTTTATAAATATATAAATTTACAAATGGATGACTTAGCAATAGCGGGAAGGTAAACAGCTATATGTAGGTCATACTGGTCAGAAGTAGGCTGGTATTTATATAATACTAACTTTATTCAGGAAAAACATCTTTGTTGTAGAGATGGTTTAAAAGCATCCAAATAAAATCAATTTTATTCGATAAGGATACAATTTATCATAATCCCTGCCAAAAAAGCATCGATAAGGTTTATAACATAGCTTTGCTTTCCCCTTAAAGACCCATTGCCACTTACCGTGATGCATCACAATTTGTTTACATTTTGAATCGTGTCACCACTGAAAAAACAATTCTAACCTTCTGAATAAACTCTTAAAAGAATGTAAAAGAATCATTATTGTGCCTTAGTGCTACGTCGGAAAAGGATTTAATATGAAGTTATTATTCAATATATGAATCTTTGAATTTCATGGAACACGAAATTCATCTGTGACCGCGGTGCATCACGGTAAGTGGAAATCGTTTGTGAGATAAATAATATATGAACTAGGAGCACGAGGAAAGACTATTAGCCCCTGAAGCTGAAGTTGCGGGGGACCCAACAAGTTACGTGAAAGAGATCATGCGCGACCAAACACCACCACGAGACAGGCACGTGAAAAAAGTACTTGCCCCTGAAATTGCAGTCGCGGGGGAGCCAAAGAACTTTCCAAATCGAGATTTTTACTGGCTTATGGGACACAGGAAACCCAAGACTAGTGTCAATAAATATCTGCTACCATGAATATATATAATGGATTGTTGCAAATAAACAATGAAAAACCTCAGAATTGTCTAACTGAGTATATTTTTATCTATTTTCTATATGGTCTTCTCAACAACATACCTTTTAAACT